GTGGCAGAGGGAATTCTGGGAGCTAAAAGCTGCCCCAAGAAAAGAAGCCGCTACAAGGACCCTGCAGCCTGGCACCCACAAGAATCTGAGTTCTGCTCCCATGGGTTTGGGAGAGAACCCAAAGCTTTAGTCACATGAGAACACAACCCGGATTACTGCTTCTGAAGCCTTAAACTGAGGATGCAGCCAAGCCCTGTCTACAGTCCTGACCCACATAAATGTGCTGTACCAAACCCATGTCGATCTAACCTACTGAAGTCTGTGGCAACATTGAAAAGCAATAAAAAAACTAATACAACTGTGTTCTAAAATTCACCGTGAAATGTTCTGCTATGATTTATTTCCATGTTCTTAAGTTATGGGGGATGTTCCTAAATTATTTCATTGATGAGTATCCCTTGTCCACTCTCTTTATTTTTTGAAATGCTAATTACTCAGATTTTTTTGAAAGTCTTATGTCAAAAACTTTTATAATTTCCTTTTCTTGCACTTTGCATTTTCTTATCTTTTTGGTATCGACTCTGAGCACTTTGGTCACCCTGTCTCCTAGGCCCTCTGCTGACTTCTTCATTTCTACTACCACTATTTTAATTTCTAAAGATATATTTTGTTCTCTGTCCTTTATTTGATAGCAGCCAAGTCTTGCTTTACAGATGAAAAACCACCTTTTATAGCTGTAACAATATTCCCGATAAGCCTTTTCATTGACATTATTTCTCTCAAGATCTTTAGTGTTGTCCTGTTGCCAGAAAATCTGTCCCCCTGTAGCTTGCTGAGGAATACAGCCTGAGTTTCAGCCTTTCGCCATGGAGACTCACCTCAGGTCCACGGGGAAGACACTGAAGACCAGTTTCCCTAAACTGTTCATTGGAAGCGCTGAACCCACTGTGGGACTCAATGGCTGTGAACTAAGTTTCCAGCGCTGTGGTTGACACCCTGCTTCCTAAGAAACCTCATTGCAAAGGTCTTTAAGCCTTTCTTTTGAACTCCTCAGATTCCCTAGAGCATCCTTCTCCCTCTTGTTACAGAGTCACCGGTCTGTGTAACCAGAAACTGGGAACAACATATATGCCACTTAAAAGAGGAAGGGAGAAAGACAATGTAGTACATCTGCACCATGGATTATTAGTCAACCATTAAAACAATGAAACCACAAAATTCTCAGGTAAATGACTAGAACTAGAAAAAAATACCCCAAGTGAGGCAACCGATTTCAGAAAGATAAACGTGCCATGTATTTGTGTATGTGTGGATATTAGTTGTTAAGTCAATGATAACCAAGCAACAGTTTGTAGAAGCACAGAGGTTAAGTATAGAGTAAGGGACTCATGGAAGGACAAATAGATCTCCCTAGAAAAGGGTAATAGAGTAGATCGTTCTGGATGGGTGATGGTGGAGAGACTCATAGGAGGCGGCACTATCAGGAGGTGTGACTTTGTTGTAATAGGTAGGACCTTGCTGAAGAAAGTGTGTCGCTGTGGAGGTAGGTGAGCTTTGAGATCTCATAGACGCTTAAGCCACGCCCAGTGTTTCAGACCACTTCCTGTTTCTTGCAGGCCAAGATGTAGGACTCTCAGTTCCTTCTCCAGCACCATGTCTGCCTGCATGTTGCCATGTTCCACCATGATGATAGTGGACTAAACCTCTGAAAATGTTAAGCCACCCAAATTAAATGTTCTTCCTCTATAGAAGTTGCCATGGTCATGGTGTCTCTTCACAGCAATAGAAACCCTCACTAAGACAAAACTGTCTATTTCCATTTTGTCATCCCAAACAGAAACTCTATACCCACTAAGCAGTAACCTCCCTCCATTCCTACCTGCTTCATAAGCGACCCTCCGCTGGTCCTCTTTACTACCCCATCCACTACCTGTTTCAAACGTTTCTGCCATCAATCCCTGAATTTGTGTAGATTTGGCTAGTTCTTAGATTTTTTTCCACTGTGGGCTTAGATTTCTTCTTCCTCAGATCAGGTAAGCAAGTTGTCGTTTGTCTATCATCCCCCTGGGAAGTACTCTAGTCCCTACCTTTTCTTCCCATCCCAGTAGACTTGTGGCAGTAGTTAGAGAGGAGTTTCAGGACAGCATAAAATGCTTTTATTAATTTTTAGACATGCAAAGACTTTGGGGTACAAAAAATATCGCAAATACACAAAGCAAAGTTACAGAAGTGACCTGGTTATGCTGAAATGTTTTATTTAATCATCTCCCATGCGCTTGTCTGTCGGAATGTGGGATCACATCCATCTCCACAAAATTCAATGTATGAGCAAAAAATTCCATTCTATTTCTGTAAACCCAGGAACCTAGTAACTATTGTCCATAACTGTGAATCAAACTGAGCCAAAGAAAAAAATAATGACTTGTTGACATGGGAACACCAGGAAAAAAAAAAACAAAAAAAAAAAAAACCAGTCTGCATTTAGTCCCTTTGTCAAGCTCGGGGTTGTGGTTTTTGTGTTTTGTTTTGTTTTGTTCCTTACAGCATCAACTCAGATATAGAAATTTCCTTAAAAGGGGATCAGTAGATACAGACCATTGTTACAGGAGCTGCATATGAATTGGACTTGGCATGATCTCATTGCTCTCTATCTGTGACTTCATCATATTCCTGCTCCCTAGGTACACTCCGTCTTTCCCCTAGGTACACTGGTTGGGTTTGGGTTTTTTCATGCAGAAGGCCTTCCTCTTTGCATTTTCCATTCAGCCTGATGCAGAGTGTCAGGCTGGTAATGTTAACCGGCCTGTTCCCTTCTCTTTCCCAGTAAGCTACCCCGAGCTTGTGTGGACTCATTCTTCAGCACGCCCAGCTGACAACTGCTCAGTGTGAAAGGAAGAGGTGAGTTCAACTCGTGTTCTGAGCAGAAGTTAGTTTCATTTATTAAACTATTTCCTATTAATCAGCTTAGGTGTCTAGTAACAGAGGCGTGGATAAAGAAAATGTGACTTTTATATACAAAGGATTTTTCTTTCTCATCCATGAAGTAGAATGAAGTTTCGTTGTTTTCAGGAGAAGGGACACAACTAGAGAGGTTTCCTAATAAGTGAATTAAGCTAGTCTTGGAAAGACAGGTGTGTGTGTGTGTGTGTGTGTGTGTGTGTGTGTGTGCACGCGCACGCACACACACACACACACACAGGCACACACACATGTGCTTTTGATGTGTTTTTCTCTCAAGTGTGGTTCTTAGATTTGAGAGTCAGGCAAAACCATGCTTGTGTATATTTAAATAAGAGGAGATGTGAAATTGTCTAGGGTAGTGGTTCTCAACCTTCCTAACGTTGCGACCTTTTAATACAGTGCCTCATGTTGTGGTGACCCCGAGTCATAAAATCATTTCGTTGTTACTTCATAACCACAATTTTGTTACTGTTATGAATTTTAATGTAAATATTGACTATTTGACCCTGTGGAGGGTCGCAACCTACAGGTTGAGAACTGCTGGTCTAGAGGAACAGATAATTAAATGGAGGAGTAGGAAGAAAAGGGAATTAGGAGGAAGCAGGGTAGTGAGGAAGGGGCTCAATGTACAGTATGTACCTGTAAGAAAATGATCAACAATTAAATAAATAAAAATAATTCTTATTACTTCGCAGTGTCCTTGTTGGGAAACCCTGAAGACAAATTGTAACTGGACTAGCAAGCCTGGACCACAGAGTGCTCTGGCTGGTGGAAACGCTACCCATCAGAAGCACAGAGCTTTCTACTGTGAAGCAGACACTTTTGCCAAAGGTCACATTTAAGGAAGAAATTAGATAGAAACAAGAAAGGTCAAGCAGACCTAATCTGGCAGAATTTTGGATCTTGTCTGTATTAAGGACACTGTGGGTTTAGGAGAGTTGCTCAATGCACTCTTTTTCTCAAAAAGTCCATTGGGTTTATGAATCTAATATCTGACCACCCTGCCAACTGGTCTCATTTCCAAGTGCCTTTTAGCCGATTCTCTTGAGTTAAGTACACGATCATATTACCTATAAATAGTATTCTTCTTGCAACATGGCCTATTAAGTTGATGCAACTCTACCCTCCAGCGACAAACACACAGAAATGTTTCATAGTGTTTTAAAATGTGGCTGCATTTCAAGGGAAGAAGGGAACTACCATAATGCCGGAAGCCAAAAGAGAAGTTATAGCCAAAAAGATCCAGGATAGTCATGATCGTCTGTGAAGGCTTTTGGGGTGAGGGGACTGGGTTCCCGATACCCACATAGACACAGGAGAGGCTGGCTGACCCCCGAAGTAGGGAAAGTGAAGCTAAGCAGGTAAGCAGGAACAGGGGTTTGTTAGATCCCATTGGCATCTGACCTCCAGCAAAAGATGCCAATGTCCCACTAAGAGCAGGGACCAGAACACATGGGCTGAGAAGGTAACACACCTAGAGGGTTTTACATGTCATAGTGATGCTATCATACTAGTGTTTTGTTTTTAAGACATCCCAGTGGCTTCTGTGTGAGGGTGGATAGTCACGGAATGAGGGGACAAACTCAGAGGCTGTGGCAGTTGCCAGGGAGACAGCTCTATCATCTACCTTTGCATGACACCCTACCTCCTATTCAGGAGCATTCAAACCATAGCAATTTTATTAATGGTCACAAATTTTGTGGGTCCAAAATTTAGCAAAGACACAGTGCATCTACCTCATCTGATCTCATGATGTCTGGGACCTCAGCTGAGAAGTCTCCAATGGCTTGGGATGGCGAAAGCTAGGTTTAGCAGGATCTACCCTCTGAGACATACATACATGGCATTTGGGAGCTTCCTTTCAATAGAATGGCTCAGGTCCAAGAGGGAACATTGAGAGAATGTTCTATAGAAGGCTTTTATGCTACATAGCATCGCTTCCACCCTGATGAAGAAGAAGGTCAGAGAAGTCCCATAATCCTCCAGCTCCATGGAAAGGTTCAACCTCATTTCTTAGTGCCAGGAACATCAGAGCACTCTGGGCCAAGTTCAGAGATTGGAGGGAGAGGTGACTGTGGCCACAGCAGATGACTGTGAAGGTGAAGAGAGAATGCAGATTCAAGACACATTCAGGAAACCAGCCATGGAACTTGCTGTTGAATTATGTACTTGAGGAGAGACATGAAATAAAAAAAAATCAATTCATCATAAATGACTGCTAAGCTTACCGTAACATCGTGACCATTTATGAGTTGGGAATAAATTACTTAGAAGACACTTTATTTCATTCTAAATGAAGAGTTTCAAATGCTATTTTTGACCACCTCATATGTAGAGTTTACATCTGAAATGGTTTATCTTTTCATTTCATCTTTAAAAAAAATCAAAGAAGGAGGTGTTTTGTGCTTTTGTATTTTTGATAGAGAAACCAAAATCCATGGGTAGACTTCTCACCTAGAGTAAAGCAGGGAACAAGTGGCAGAGACAAAATGTTCCTAGAGAGACTCCACCCTTTGGCTCAGCATCCCTGCTTCCCCAGGGATCCACAAAGCTCAGAAAGATTACACACCTTAACCAGGATGACATAGAAGTTACAGGATTGGACTTTACACTCCAGCCCTAAAGTCTGCTCTCCTGCCAGCGGGGGCCCTAAGCGGTGACAACAGAGTGGGTACCTCACAGGAGACAGGAGCCACGATGTCCCTTGGTCATTCATTCTATACAGCATTCTACAAATGCTAGACGAGTCTCCATTCTAAAAAGAAAAACCTCACCACTAAAGGACTTTAACTGAAGTTACTCCCTAGAGACTGTCACCCACAGACTGTGCCATCATCAGACACAGGGCTGCGGATGGTCCTGAAGACACAGAGCTGCGTGTGTGTTTGCCCTTTGGGGACCAGAGTGTCCTCAGATTTTGAAATACAGCGAGAAGCTGCTTGTTTTGTTTAAATCCTGAATCTTTGATCAGCCACACAGCCGTCTTTGATGCTGGCAGGAATCTGTAATAGCTGATAATTAACACCACGTAGGAAGTGGGTAGAAAGACCAGAGTGGATGGAAATTAATGGGGGTTTTAGAAGTGAAAACAGACAGTTTTCTTCTAGCTCCTTCCATGCCCACTGGCTGTCTCTCTCTCTCTTCCACTACAAGTTATGATTTTCAAGATCCTGAATGCGTCTGTCATGTTCATCCCATCATTTCAGGGTTCACTTAGCCCTTTTCGAAGATGGCGGACCTTGTCTCAAGTAAATTAATTACCAGCCTAGGATATTGGAGGCTCAAAGAAAATTAACTCCGTGGGTTATAGCTCAGTGTGCCCAGCTCACTGCAGATGTCCCTATTCCTTCTGCCCACCACCTGGACCAGGGCAGTTTCAGCTCAAGAGCATCCCAGGACTCTCTGAAGCCTAGCTGTGTGGTGGGAAGTTCTCCATCATGAAGCCACTGGGTGCCTCCATGTGCCCAGCGTCCCCAGGCCAGAGAGAGCCAGAGCCACCAGTCAGCCAGTGTCCCAGCCAGGAGTCGCCAAGGCCAACTCTGAAATGGCCTCTCTCCCTTCTGCTACACAAGTCAGCCAGCCTCAGCTTCCTTGCCCACTGTTGGCACCAGAGAAATGGCTGCCTGGGTCAGCGCATTCAGCATGGGCTCCGGCCCAGTAGATCCAATGCCCTAGAAAAGCCATAAAAGTGAAAGAGAGAAAGGGGTGGTGATAGGGAAAGGAGAAAGAGCGCTGGGAGCCAGAAAAACAGGAATTTGCACAAAAGGGAGGGGAGAAGAAAACAGAAGTGAGAAACTCTTCTATGTGTATATATGTCCAATGTGCATACGTGTGTATGTATGTTGGCATGTGTATGGCTGCATATGTGTGCTGGCTAATGTGTATGTGGGAAGTCTGATTTGACATCCGATATTTTCCTCAATGGCTCTCCACCAGATTCATTGGAGCACAGTCTTTCAACTGGACGCGGAGCTCGTAGATTCGGCTAATCTCTCTCCAGGGACCCCCATCTCCACCCGCCAAGGGCTGATTGCGGGTGGGCTGCCGCACCTGTGCAGATTTACTTGGGTTCTAGGCAACTGAACTGCACCGAGCACACTTTGTTAGATGGTGACTACTTCACCCACTAAGCCATCTCCTCAATCCCAACCCATCCTTTCATGGATTTTTTCAAGACATGTCAAACTTATTGCCAGAAACATAATTACATGGTGACCTAGAGATTCTCACGGTCTTCAAAGGCAGACTGACTTGGTTTGGGTCCCAAGGACGGGCATTCCCAGGCTGTGTGTTCTCCGCAGCCTCTCTGAACCCATTTCCTCCTCTGAGAGTATACCAGGAGAGACTAGGGATGCACACTGCCTTGTGCCACCCAAGAGACACTCCAAAACAGTATCAATTCCTCCTCTCCTACCAGCTTCACCCCTTCCTTCGGTTAAACTTTGTGGGTGGTGGTTGTGGATTTGACCATTTCCTCCACATCTCAAAAGTGTCTGGCCCTGGATCGCAAGCTCAGCTGAGAAATCTATTTAGGAGCTAGCTTTGCGATGTGTGTGATAAATAAGTTATTAATCCCAAGCTAGCAGTCAGCTGAATCCATTCCAAGGAACACGCCTGTCTTCCATACTGCCGCTCATTCCAACAGTCTCATGATGAGATAACCCAAGGGAAGACGTAAAGGCGGGGCTGCGGGCCTGAAGAAGAAAGGGGGTCCTGCTTTGGAGTATTCTGTTCCTAACAGAGAAAGGGGTTAGACCCACTGTGTTTACAGACTGCTTGGGACAGTCTAAGGGAGTAGTGAGGGTAGGAGACGGAGGAGAAGATGACGCCTGTTGGCGATTGCAGGACCCTAACCTGCTCCAAGGAACAGTGTGGTGGCAAAGAGGTCCTCTCCCTGGGCAGTGAGTGAGAGGGCCCTCAGCCCCATGCTAGTGCTTCAAGGCTCTTGTGGATGTGACCTCCTTGCATTAAAGTAATGGAGTCAGAGAATGAACCCCCCACACACACACACAGATGCTTCCTCTACTTTGAAAGTTGGATACACAGAAACTCTTGCTGCCCAGGACCTCAAACGTTCTACCGAAGTGGCGGTCTTGGAGCCAGATACAGTGGCCTGTGACTGTATTTACAGTAATTGGGAGATGGAGGTAGGGGACCAGGAGCAACATAGCAAGCTGCTGTCTCAACAACATCAACAATAAAAATAATAATTATTATTATTATTAATGTACCTTGGAATCAGAGTCTGACCTAGAAAAGCTCAAAGGTCAGGGTCATCAGGATGCCCCAAATATAAGGCATTAGTTTGCAGGAGAGTGACCAAGCCGTCAGACCCTTGTGTACTTCCACACCTATGCCAATTCTCCTGAACACCTCGCTTCCTTGGTCCCGGGCCCTGTTCTAGCCCAGAAACTTGCTATGGCTCACATATGGTTTGAATGTGTCTCCCAGACCTTTGTGTGCTGGAAGGGTGCTTTTCATAAGCTAGTGATGCTATTGTGAGACAGAGAGTGGAGGTGACAGCCTGGGACCGGGTGGATGGGGTTCTCACAAGACGGGCTTAGTTCCCATAATACCAGGTCAGTAGCCATGAGAGAAATCCAGACTCTCTTTCATACCCTGGCTTCTGTTTTTGCACAAGGAGGATCCTGGAGATGGCGATCGCAGTCTCCAGTCATTTGTTATGAGATATTCAAATTCCATCCTCTCCCTAGTACCCTTTTATCAGTGAAAAAAAAAACTGAGGTCAGGAAGGTTAAAAGGCTCAACCATATTAATGAGTCAGAAGACAGAGAATAGAGATCCCAGGTATGTCTATGGAGCAACACTTACTCTTCTAGATGAAGTCTTCTTCAACATGGCACACCCTAGGAGAGGCCCCAAGAGGCCAAGTTAAGCAAGCATGTCCTATGCAGGGACAGACAACAGACATTTCCAAATGAGACAGAAAGCCTCCAGAAAGGCGGTTAAGAGGGGAGACAAAACAGTCCCTGGTATAGGCCACACCCTAGAGGATTCTGGGAACTGGGAAGGGAAAGTGATCAGCTAATCACTATCTCTGAAGTTCTATGCATGGGAGTTGTGCCCAGCGAGCTCTTTGCAGAACACAATAAGACATCTCCCATAGAAAAGGCATGTTTTGGAAGGAGACTGGAACTAATGGAAATCTTAGAGATCTGGGCAGACACCACCCCCATGTTGACTCCAGGAAAATGGTTGGTGGGGACACTGCTGATAGGGCTCTCTGTCACCCTGACATCAGCTCTCTGCAGGGGATGCTGACACTCTCCTCCGTCATCACTGCAGCAGTGATCCATCGTCAGGGTTCTGTCTTTATCACTATCTCTCCTCCACGTCCAGGGGTCTCCGGAGCAGCCTCTGAAAAGCCCTGGGTAGGAGAACCTTTTGTGTGTGTGCATCTCGTGTGTGTGTGTGTGTGTGTGTGTGTGTGTGTTTGTGTGTGTCCCTCTGTGTGTGTGTCTTTCTTTCCCCTCTCTTCTTCTCTCACTCCCCCTTTTCTTTCTGTGGTGTGTGTGTGTGCACATGCATGCGTTCATTCAGGGTTTGTTGAGCGGGAGGAATAGAAGCACCAAGGGCCCAGGGAATTGGGCAGGCCTCCATTCTGCACAGCCTCTTCCACAACAAGTGCTGGCTAGCACACCCACCTTTAATTCAAGTCCTCCAGATTCCCTGCCATACATGATAGTGCCTCTAAGGGAATGATGAACAGCCTCCAGGCAGACACGCAAAAAAAACAAAACAAAACAAAACAAAACAAAACAGCAAAGGGCAGAAAATTTTTCCTCTTACTAGAGTTCTTCAGACAAGCCCAACCCATCTCCCTGAGCTCTCCCTCGTCCCTTACTGTATTCTAGAGAATGACAAAGAAAGGGCATCATTGAGGTCAGCAGGGGGAAGTCACTAACCACACCACTTCCTCAGCTTCTCCCACCGAGATCTGTAGCTCGTACTAGGGGTCGGTGCCAAGCCACCACCCAAGATCAAATGTCCATTCATCAATTGCTGAGTGACCTTGGTGCATCGCAGAAGCCCCAGCCTTGGTCATATCAAAGGTGAAACAGTCGCAGAGGGACTTCGGTGGCATGAAAACAGCTTGCTGAGCAAACGTGTGGTGTGTCCAAGGACAGTTATCAGCAGCGTTGGACAAATTCCTCTGATCACCAACTCCAACATCGTTACCTTTGGCTTTATTCTCAACACCGATCTTTCTTTGTCTATACCATATCGAGCAAGGACCATGTACATCCCCTGGTTGTTTGCAGACAGGGCCAGCATTGTATGTAATGAAAATCTTGAAAGTATCTGATAGAAAAATCGCTGAATCTCCTTGTCTCTGGAGCTCCTCCTTCCCCCATGCCTGGGTGCTGCCTTGAAGAACAAGCACAATCAGGTTCTCACACTCCTCCCACCCTCTGCCTAGGAATAGAATAAAGGTCTGGAGACAGAGAGGTTCCTAGAAGTGTGCAGTGACAGACCTTTGGTGTCTCTGCCTTCGGTGGCTTCTGAGAGATTAAATGTATTGAAAGCTCTGCACTCTGCCTTGGTACTGGAAGGCAACTCCAATTAAGCTCCGTCTTTAGATGCCTTTAGGTCAACCCCAGGCCAGTGCTCTGAAAGCCCTAGGGGACCTAAGTCCTCATCTCAGAATAGAGCGTTCACCTCACACAGAGGCCAGAGAGGGCATTAGGTTTCCTCGTCTAGCTTTCTCCACTTGTTCCTCTGAGGAATGGTATCTTCTGTACCTGCAGCTCCACTAGGTTAGAGGCCAATTAGTTCCAGCAATCCTTCTGTCTCCATCCCCTTTAGACTTGGAGTGCAGGCGCTTGTGAATGTTGCCCACCAGCTTGCTCTGTGGGTGGATCTGAACTCTGGTCTTCATGCGCTCAGAGAAAGTGCTCTTAGCCACCAAACCATCTCTCCAGCCCCCGTGTTCAGACTTTTGATCTCAAGAGCTGTAGGGGAACAACTCCTTGCTGTTTTAAGCCACTAAGTCTGGCAATCCATCATAGCCGTGATGGAAAATGAATATATGTGGATACCCTTTTAGCCTAGTTTTGGATGAGAAACTAAGGCTCCCTACTGAACAATTTCCCAAGGCCCTGCTGCTGGGAGGGGGAGAAAGAAAAGGGGAATTTGTACTTGTGATAGCGATTCTTGGTTGTCAGCTTGACTGCATCTGAAACACGCCCAAATGCTAGAGCCTGGTCTGGTGCACCTGTGAGAGATTCTTTTCTTAATTAAATCACTTGAAGTGAGAAAACCCACATTTAATCCAGATCTTTGAGGTAGGAAGATACACCTTAAATCTGGGCCAAACCTTCTGCTGGCAGCCTATGTAAAAGACATGGAAGAAGGAAGTGTTTGCTCTTTACCTGCTTGATCTTGCTGGCAAGTCGACTCCTTCACTGGCATTAGACCATATTTCTTTGGATTTCCAGCATGTAATGAAAACTAGCTGAGACATCGAGCCTCACAGACTGAACAACTACTGGATTCTTGACTTTTCGGTTGGTAGACAGCCATTGTTGGAGCTGGACCACAGCCTGTAAACCATTCTAATAAATCCCCTTTCTATTTCTAGGATGGATAGATAGATAGATAGATAGATAGATAGATAGATAGATAGATACATACATACATACATACATACATACATGGTTAGATACATGGATGGATACATTGATGGACAGATATAAGATGATAGATAGATAGATAGATAGATAGATAGATAGATAGATACATACATACATACATACATACATGGTTAGATACATGGATGGATACATTGATGGACAGATATAAGATGATAGATAGATAGATAGATAGATAGATGATAGATAGATAGATAGATAGATAGATAGATAGATAGATAGATAGATCTGTTCCTCTAGAGTCCAGAGAACCCAGACTAATACAGTACCTAGCAGTACCTAGGGCTCCCTGGCCCCCAGGTCCAGGGCTCTTCTCACTGTACTGTGCTGCCTTTTGATGGGAGTTATCGTGTGCCCTGCCTCAATGAGAATACACACCACACACACACACACTGCGCATTGCACATTGTCATCCCACAGTGGATCCATGAAGTTGATACCATTGGCCACTTTGCATATGTGAAAACCGGTGACTCCTAGAGCTGAGGAAACTTCGTCACTTCTTACATGGGACAGAGAGATCATTTCCACAAAACCAAGCATATTTTATCCATCACCACGTCTGCGGCTTGCGCTGCTGTGGACGTGAAAGGTCTAGGATAATGGAGTGAGACGTTACACAATACAGCCTTTCTGTAAAGTGAAGGGAACATCTGGTGACATTTCCCAGCCTCAGCCTCTCTCTCCAACACCTAGATTTCAGCATCCTAGAAGCCATGAAGCAGGATCTCACTACTCTATCCTTGCTCATGGTGGCCCAGAGGGGAAAAAAAATATCTCAGCTACAGCCTCTAGTCCGGTGGTACCTAGATGGGGTAAGCTGGTTCGGTGATGCCAGTGACTTTCGAGTCTCCCTCTGACCAGCCTCATAAACAACTCTCTAAGCTTTTCCAAGAACAAAAGCATCTGCGCTAAGTCCCTGCACTGTTGGGAAATCCACCCCAGAATGAGAGGAGCAAGCAGGGACACTGTGTGGCAGAAAACAACGATCCTGGGGTGGCTGTCCTAGTGATCACTGTGACAGATGTAAGGTGGAGAGCGGATCACTGCGGAATCCGCAGGGGATGCCACTGTTCAGTCTGCTGATCTCTGTACCCTGGGAGAACGATTGGGTTGCCCATTGAGTATCACCGGGCCCAGAGGGAAAAGGTCATCTGGAAACCTACCCAAGCAAATGCTGCTCCTGTGTGTCATGTATCTGTGAACCTGCAAGGCTCTGATATCTGTCTCCAACTAGGAAGAGACCCTCCTAGCCATCTTAACTGGAAAACCAACTGAAGCAGAAGAAAGAGTTGTTGATTTTTAGCCAAGGTCATGGATTCTCTAGACTGGGAGAAGTCACAGGGAAGAATATCATTGCTCTTGCAGAGAAACAAGCTCCCAGCATCCCGTGCTGCTCGCTGCACCCAAAGGCCTGCTCCTGGATCTTCCAGATGGAAACCATGGGCTCGAACTTCTGTGATCCTCATTTTGCCTAACTGGTCCTTGTCATTTGGTTGTGATTTGGGTCTGCTTCTGGCAAAGAAAAGACAGAGACATAAGTAGAGGCATCTGTCTTATATGACAGAAAACTCAAAAAAATGCTCAAACAGGAGGAAATCCTAAATACGTAACACAAGGACCAACTTAGAGGGACGATTGAGAGAGAACGCAAAGGCGACAGTCTATCTGATGATGGCCAGGCCAAGAAGGGGAAGACACAAAAATACGTCAATATCCCTTCACTCAGCCACCCATAGTTTAATATATCCCTACTATGGGCTCAAGTCAAGCATGTTCATGAAAGGCAGGGCCTTCTCTTCAGTGAGACACCTGCTGTGTTTCCATTTGGAGAGAGGAGGTCAGCATGCCTTCATTTTCACACTGATGGCTGAAATGCCATTAGTCTAGGACATCATTTGGAAAACAGGCAAAATGGACAGGAGCCTAAGGAGACTCAAAGGGCAATGCAGAAGTGGTTGTCATGGGCTCCCCAGGATCACGGGGCATTCTTTTTGCCATTAGAGTTTTGGCAGTGAAGGCAAGCAGAGGCATGGTCTGGGCTAAATGAAGAAGGCGGCATCTATAAATCAAAAGACCCTAAAGAAGCCAGCAAAGAATATGCAAAATGAACAAAGGTTTGTGGGAGAAAAACAACAAACAGAGAAACAATCAAACAGAGAGAAGACTGTCAGGGAATTTGTTTAGGGACCTGCCCACCTGACAACCGAGTCATTGATGACATACAGAAGAGGCTTCTAGACACAGGGCACATGGGCATGAGGAGCACAGACCACGACGCTTCATCGCGAAGAAATGGGCTCTCATCAAGGCTATAGTAGCAGGACCCTCCTGAGAACAAGTCGGAGGCCACGTTACTAAGATGATGAGTTAAGGCAAATTATTATTTATCAGACAGAGCCAGAAAAGCAACAGTCTTTATGAAAATAACTATCAGAGTTTACAACTGAGGAGTGGAGATCCTAAAGGACTGGGCAGGAAGGGGACCTAAGGAAAGAATTCAGGTCCTTGACAAATGTAGTGCATAGAAGCATACAGAGGAGAATGAGGGAAGGGGGAAAGGCTACACACACACTGGGAACTAAAGGGACATCTATTATGCAAATCACTCTCTGTGAGCTGCATTCGAGTGGTGTGATGTGTAAAAACAATGTGTCAAAAAGAGCCTGGGCCCTGCATCTGGGTGGCAATCAAGGGTGTTGTAAGGAGGTCTCTTATTTGTTCCCGGCTGCTCAGCCCCAAAATAATCACACAGAAACCATATTATTTGCAATACTGTTTGGCCAATAGCTTAAGCATATTTCTGAATACCTCGGATCTTAAATTAACCCACCTCCATTAATCTGCGTATTGCCACATGGCTGTCACTTACCGGGTAAAGTTCCAGCAACTGTCTCCCATGGGACTATATGGCTTCTCCTTGACTCCACCTTCTTTCTCTCAGCATTCAGTTTAGTTTCCCCTACCTAGCTCTGCTCAACCCTATCACAGGCTTCTTTATTAACAAAACAGCTTCTTTATTAACCAGTGGTATTTACAGCATACAGAGGGAAATCTCACATGACAAGGGAAAGGCTAAAAACTCTAAATAGGAACAGGAATTGGAAATCATTTCTTCTTCTTCAGTCAGATTTACTGGTGATGAGGGACACTTCCAAAATTTACAAAAATCAGGGGAGGAATCATCTCACAAGACTCAGCTGGGGCCTGAGTTCTTCAGATGGTGTGTCTTAAACTTACACACACACACACAAACACACACACAGAAACGATCTACAAGTCTTATCCCAAGGCTCCAATCTCTAAGGCCTTAATCTGGGAGGTCTGGGCAGAGCCCACAAATTTATCCATCTAATAAGTTCCTTGTGTTTGCCCATGTTGCTGATCTGAGGGGTTCACACTGACAAGCATTTAAGACACAGGGTAATCACGGCCCTAACACAAACATCCTGCTCCTTCTTGCCTGTATCCCCTCTTGCACTAGAAGTTCAGTGCTCTTACAACATGGAGGGTCCCAGGGTACCCAGATTTCCTCAGTACCATGTGCTTCTATCACACTCAGGAAACCAAAAGGGTCAGAGGAAAGGCAACTGCCATGGTTAATATTCTCAACTTGACAGACTCCAGAATCACCGAAGAGACGCAGCTCCCACCATGTCCATGAGGGAGTTTCTAGACTGGACTAAATGAGGTAGGGAGACCCTCCCCTAAGTGTGGGTGGTTCCATTCTATGGCCTGGGGTCTTGGACTGAACAAAAGGAAGACAACAAGTAGGACGCCAAAATCTCTCTCTCTCTCTCTTTCTCTCTCTCTCTCTCTCTCTCTCTCTTCTCTCTCTCTCTCTCTCTCTCTCTCTCTCTCTCTCTCTCTCTCTCTCTGTCTTTCCTGACCATGGCTAGGTACAGTATGATCAGCTATCTCCCTGTCCTGCCACCATACCTTCCCCATCATCATGGCTGTATCTATGAACTATGAACCAAAATAAACCCCTCCTTCCTTAGGTAGACCTGGCCACTTATTCTGTCCCAGCCCCGAGACACTGATGTAATAATGGCCATTGGCCTTCCCCTCGGCCCCGTGAAGAGCAGCTGGGTGATGTGATGTCTCAAGTGGGGAAACTGAGAAGCCACCAGCATTGTTTCTACCGCACCCCATTTGTTGGCCTCTTCCACCTAAGCTGTGAGCACCATGAAAGTGGAGTCTACTACATTAGTAGGAGGTTAATAAATGCTTGGTTAATAAACGGAGCTGTCAGCGATGAACTACGTCAAAGATCCAACAGAGCAAAGATTCCTTTTAGACCAAAATGGGTAGGAAAGTGAGGGCTGGGGGGGGGGGGGGGGTAGAAGCAACAGAGAGGCCCCAGGGTCAAGATTTCCCACTTTAGCCTGTCATGCTCGCTCGCTCTGTTCTCTCAGCCTCCTCCTTCCCTTAGTCAGAACTTGCAGGTGGTACCCCAGGCGCTTCTCCCCAACTCTAGACCTAAGAAGCTGACTATGCTGGCAAAGATGGAGGAAGCCACCTCGTGGGAAAGAGGCTCTGACCAGTAAGTGGGGGTGAAGGGAAAGAAACATCTCCCTGGAGAGACGGAGGCTGTGTCAGCGGAAACAAGGCAGAGCTTCTGAGGGAGGCTCCCCCAGGCTCCCGAGCCCTTCGCCATTCTCCAGCTCTGCCGCCCTCCCCCACTGCCCGCCTCCTACTTGGAACCGGTGACTAATTGCATTGCGTTTCTCTTTGACTTGCGTCACCCAGCAGAGAGTGTGTGGTTGTTTTTACAGCTTATTCTTTCAGGGGTTCTAAGTGACATTTTTAAAGTGCTCTTCCCCGGCTTTGGAGCAGAGCAGCCTCCTCTGTTCTCTCCCCCTCAATCTCTGTTCCTCTCCCCCTCACTCCTTTCCCTCTTCCGGGGACTGCCAGGAAGAATAAAAGCTCAGAAGACAGGGGAAAGCCCCCCCCAAAAAACAACCAGAGGGGCTCCCTGGACTCTCTGGCTTTTGAGGAGACCCTGACAGTACAGAGGCCAACATTCTCCACCACTGGCGGTACCTGCAAGAGACAGGCCAGAGTGGTGAAGAACCACGCTTGGAAGCGCTTTTCCCTCCCTCTTCCTCCCTCCCTCTCCTCTCCTCTCCTCTTCCTTCCATCCAGAAACATTTCCTAATATCTACTAGTAGAGAACAGAAACTAAAACAAACTGTATTTCTCTCCTAATGGGTGGGAAGCACTGGAGATGTGTCAGCCGGCAATTAATAAAGCGCAGGGGACCAACCTGGAGGCTATAGGGGCCACTGTTATCCCACGGGTAGACAGCACCAAACCTAGCCTGCGAGGGCTACTAGCATCTAGGTGGAGAGGCCGCGAAAAAAGGATGAGATGCTACAGACAGCAGCCAGAGTGGTCAGAAATAAAGCAACAGCAGCAAAAAGTCATACTGGCTTGAATGCCTCGGGGGAACTGTGGGACTTTGAATCGCTTGTGTGGAACTGGAGATGGCTCAGCAGTTAGTCACTTGTACTCCAGATGCCTCCTTCACAGAGCGCATTCAGTTCCCAACATCCAAGGCTCACAACTGCCCTTAAGCTCCAGAGTGATTCAGCGCCCTCTTCTGGCCTGTGTGAGCACCTACACTTATGTGCACATAATTAAAAGTAAAATAATCTAGGTGTGGTGGACACACCTTTAATCCCAGCACTGGGGAGGCAGAGGTTGGAAGATCTCTGTGAGTTCAAAGCCAGCCTGGTATAAATATCCAATTCCGTGACTGCCAGAACTACACAATGAGACCTTGTCTCACGGAAAGAAAAAATGGGGAGAGGGGGTTTAACAGCTCATGAGCCACTAAGATGGTCACTCTTAACTGAGAATCTTGAGTTTGTCCCTCTTTAAAATGGGAGAGTTGGGACAGATCACCCGTTGACACCCCTGCTAGTTGCAACTCCAATGTCCTAGACTCTCTCCCAGCACCGAGGACCTGGAAACAGCTCCATGACAGAAGGAGGGGTGTGAAGTGAAAGGGGCTTGGAACACGAGGCCTGTGTGCGAATCCAGCCACTGACCATTTGAAGGGACCTTGGGCAAAGCAGAAAAGCTGTTTGATCCACAGCCTTCTCAGCCACCAAGCACAGAGCGGCGGAGAGGGTTTCACGGTTACCTGTCAGGCCAGACTCTCAGCGCTATGACAGAGGAGCATGCTCTTATAGGTGAGCTCCAAGAGACTGTGACTTGAGCCCCCATCGCCAGCCACCAGAGAATGTTCGGGACATGGGACCTTCCCTCAATTTCAATTTCTTTCCATCAAAAGACAGGAGAAGTTTAAAATCTCAAATGTTGGGTCTGGAGAGAAGGTAAGAGCACAGACTGCCTTGGCGGAGGACCTGCCTGTGTTTCCCTTTGGGGGTTCTCTGCAAACACCAGGACTGACACAATAGCAAGCCGCAGGAGGCAAGAAGGCAGCTTGGTTCAACTTGACTCAGTAGCCGATGTTGATTCAAATTCTGAGGGCCTGACCCGAGCAGTTTATTTTAGCACGGCATAATTTGGAATAAAGTTTTCTGGTGATAATTAATTCAATCCCGTGTGCACAACAAAGCCGAAGACAAGACTACATCAAAACCCTTTGTAAAGTACATGTGATGCCTTCCATAAAGTTGGGTTCTGTGGATGTACTGAGAAAACAAGTTCAAGATAAGGGTATGAGGGAGAAGCCAGTGTGACCACAGAAATAGTGCAAAGGTCACCAGGTTATTAACCACATCTGTGCCCAGGCTTCTGGGCAGAAACTAGGTTATACAGCTCTCCCTCTGGAGACACAACCTTGTGTGTTTAACATTGCTGATTCCCTAGTGCTTATCTGTGAACCTACCTTTGTGCCTCCTACAGTTCCCAGCACCCGTGATAGGCAGCTCACAACCACCTGTAAACTTCAGTTAAAGGAGCTGAACCTGTCTTCTAGCCTCCATGGGAACCTGATTGAGTTCAAGTGCACAACTGCGCGCGCACACAATTAAAAATAAAATAAAATCTAAAATCCCAGATTATATGGATACAGTCTATACAGACTATACCAAAAGAATGAAGTTGTGGCTAAAGCAAGGGAGGCCCAAACCTACCCATGAATTGATCCTAGCTGCAGGCAAAGCTGCTAAGCAGGACTAGAGATGCATTTGTGGTGAGAGAATTCTTGGAATAATTGTCCACAGAGCTCAGTCAGTGACAAGAAGTGGATGAAGCCTAAAAGGGACAGCCTCTTGTAGCCTGGACTGTCCCTCTACAGAGAATAGTTCCAGTTCTGTCACATGGAGGTAAAAGTATCTCCGAGTCATTACTCCTGATGAG